GTCATTTTTTATTGTGTCTATTTGATTTTTCTCTCTTTTCTTCTTTATTAGTCTTGTTAGCGGTCTGTCAATTTTGTTGATCTTTTCAAAAAACCAACTCCTGGATTCATTGATTTTTTGGAGGGTTTTTTGTGTCTCTATCTCCTTCAGTTTTGCTCTGATCTTAGTTATTTCTTGCTTTCTGCTAGCTTTTGAATGAGTTTGCTCTTGCTTCTCTAGTTCTTTTAATTGTGATGTTAGAGTGTCAATTTTAGATCTTTCCAGCTTTCTCTTGTGGGCATTTAGTGCTATAAATTTCCCTCTACACACTGCTTTAAATGTGTCCCAGAGATTCTGGTATGTTGTATCTTTGTTCTCATTGGTTTCAAAGAACATCTTTATTTATGCCTTCATTTCGTTGTATACTCAGTAGTCATTCAGGAGCAGGTTGTTCAGTTTCCATGTAGTTGAGCGGTTTTGAGTTTCTTAGTCCTGAGTTCTATTTTGACTGCACTGTGGTCTGAGAGACAGTTTGTTATAATTTATGTTCTTGTACATTTGCTGAGGAGTGCTTTACTTCCAATTATGTGGTCAATTTTGGAATAAGTGTGATGTGGTGCTGAGAAGAATGTATATTCTGTTGATTTGGGGTGGAAAGTTCTGTAGATGTCTATTAGGTCTGCTTGCTGCAGAGATGAGTTCAATTCCTGGATATCCTTGTTAACTTTCTGTCTCGTTGATCTGTCTAATGTTGACATTGGGGTGCTGAAGTCTCCCATTATTATTGTATGGGAGTCTAAGTCTCTTTGTAAGTCTCTAAGGACTTGCTTTATGAATCTGGGTGCTCCTGTATTGGGTGCATATATATTTAGGATAGTTAGCTCTTCCTGTTGAATTGATCCCTTTACCATTATGTAATGGCCGTCTTTGTCTCTTTTGATCTTTGATGGTTTAAAGTCTGTTTTATCAGAGACTAGTATTGCAACCCCTGCTTTTTTTTGTTCTCCATTTGCTTGGTAAATCTTCCTCCATCCCTTTATTTTGAGCCTATGTATATCTCTGCCTGTGAGATGGGTCTCCTGAATACAGCAAACTGATGGGTCTTGACTCTTTATCCAGTTTGTCAGTCTGTGTCTTTTAATTGGAGCATTTAGTCCATTTACATTTAAGGTTAATATTGTTATGTGTGAACTTGATCCTGCCATTATGATATTAACTGGTTATTTTGCTCGTTAGTTGATGCAGTTTCTTCCTAGTCTCGATGGTCTTTACATTTTGGCATGTTTTTGCGATGGCTGGTACCGTTTGTTCCTTTCCATGTTTAGTGCTTCCTTCAGGTCTCTTGTAAGGCTGACCTGAGTGGTGACAAAATCTCTAAGCATTTGCTTATCTGTAAAGGATTTTATTTCTCCTTCACTTACAAAACTTAGTTTGGCTGGATATGAAATTCTGGGTTTTAAAGTCTTTTCTTTAAGAATGGTGAATATTAGCCCCACTCTCTTCTTGACTTGTAGAATTTCTGCTGGAGAGATCTGCTGTTAGTCTGATGGGCTTCCTTTATGGAGGTAACCTGACCTTTCTCTCTAGCTGCCCTTGAATTTTTCCTTCATTTCAGCTTTTGGTGAATCTGGCAATTATGTGTCTTGGAGTTGCTCTTCTCGAGAGAGTATCTTTGTAGGCGTTCTCTGTATTTCCTGAATTTGAATGTTGGCCTGCCCTACTAGGTTGGGAAGTTCTCCTGGATGATATCCTGAAGAGTGTTTTCCAACTTGGTTCCATTTCCCCCTCACTTTAAGGCACCCAATCAGATGTAGATTTGGTCTTTTTACATAATCCCATACTTCTTGCAGGCTTTGTTCTTTTCTTTTTCTTCTTTTTTTCTTTAGATTTCTCTTCTTGCTTCATTTCATTCATTTGATCATTATTCGCTGTTACTCTTTCTTCATTGATCAAGTGATTACTAAAGCTTGTGCATTTGTCACGTATTTCTCCCATGTCACATAGTTTTCACTCTCTGTCATTCGTTTATGGCCTTCTCTGCATTAATTATTCTGATTCCATCAAGTCTTCCTCTTTTTTCAAGATTTTTAGTTTCTTTCACTGTAGGTCGTAATTCGTCCTTTAGCTCTGAGAAGTTTGATGGACTGAAGCCTTCTTCTCTCAACTCAAATCAAAGTCATTCTCTGTCAGCTTTGATCCATTGCAGCGATGAGCTGCGTTCGCTGGAGGGAGATGTGCTCTTATATTTTGAATTTCAGCTTTTCTGCTTGCTTTTTCCCTATCTTTGTGGTTTTATCTGCCTGTAGTCTTTTGATGATGGTGGCGTTCTGATGTGGGGTTTTGGTGTGGAGTGTCCTTCCTTTTTGTTAGTTTTCCTTCATAACAGTCAGGACCCTCAGCTATGATCTATTAGAGAGATTACTTAAAAGTCCATTCCAGACCCTGTTTGCCTGGGTGTCAGCAGCAGAGGCTGCAGAAGATAGAAATACTGCTGAATAGTGAGTGTGCTTGTCTGATTCTTGATTTGGAAGCTTCCTGTCGGGATGTGCCCCACCTACGTGTAGAGAGTGCGCCGGTGTCAGTCTGCACCTAGTGAGATATCTCCCAGTTAGGCTACTCAGGGTCAGGGGACCCGCCAGGCAGGCAGTCTGTCCACATATAGATCTCAACCTCCGTGTTGGGAGATCCACTGCTCTCTTCAAAGCTGTCAGACAGAGTCGCTTGCGTCTGCAGAGGTTTCTGCTGCTTTTTTGTTGTTGTTGTTGTTGTTTAGGTGTGCCCCACTGTCCCCAGGAGTGGAGTCTACAGAGACTGGCAGGCCTCCTTGAACTGCTGTGAGCTCCACCCAGTTCGATCTTCCCAGGGTTTTGTTTACCTCGTAGCCTCCCAGCAATGGCGGGCGCCCCCAACCTCGCTGCTGCCTTGAGAGTTAGATCGCAGACTGCTGTGCTAGCAATAGGGAAGGCTCCATGGGCGTAGGACCCTCCCGGCCCAGGTGTGGGATATAATCTCCTGGTGTGCCTGTTTGTACGCAGTGCAGTATTGGGGTGGAGTTGCGATTTTCCAGGTGTTGTGTGTCTCAGTTCCCTGGCTGGGAAAGGGATTCCCTTCTCCCTTGCACTTCCCAGGTGAGGTGATGCCTCACTGTCACTTCAGCTCTCGCTGGTCGGGCTGCAACAGCTGATATTCCTTTCTTGTGTTGTGACAGTAGAGTGGGGTCATGCTTTAATGCACATATTTTGACCATTTTCCCTGTAAGGATCACTTTGTCATAGCCACAATTAGTATGCTTGTCTCAGCCCATTCACAAAGCCTTCTATTTATCCTCTGCAAGTCTATTGTCTGACTGAGTCAGAGAGAGTAAACATTCCTTCTTGAGAAAAGCAAACATTGTCTGTTTCATGTGATAATTAGGAAACTTCTAAAAGATATAAAGTAGAAACACAGTTTGTAGCATGACTCTCTGTAGGGTTAGTGTGAAACTAGTATTTCTGTAATTGTGAAAAATGAATGATTATATTAATTTAGAAAGTTTGCTTAGAAGGACTATGCTTATTTTAATATTAGGTATTAATCATTTCATAGAGTTGATTCTGAATGTAATGCTTACACCATACTAAGGGTTCAGTAAGTTTATTAGATATGGATTTAATATAAATTACAAACTCTAGCCTATTGAGGAGTACTTTGAAAATGCATTGCACCAATCCTAAAGCACATTTTCCTTTCTTATTTGTGCATACTTTACATGTTGTGTAAAGCACAGAAAATTCCTGTAGTACATATAATTGACAGTGGAGGAATATCAATTAGTATTACTAGTAAAAATATCAATAAAATCAGTGATTAAATATACTTTGGCAAGAAGACTGCATAAAATTAAAGTTACATGATTCAAATATTTATGTTTTTAAAAAATAACACAAATTGTGCTTTTATACATTCATATATTTATGTAAACTTTCAGTTACAGGTTTTAAGTGTGCTGTACTTGTGTGTTAAAAACAAAATAAGAAGAATTGACAATAAAAACCTAAAATGAAAACGGATGCTAAATCTACAATAATAAAGATAGCAATAAGGCTTTTTCTGGGCTATGTGTTATTTCATAGCAAGGATAATATCTTATTAATTTTTTTGTAATTATCTTCAATTCCTAGAATTGGGACTACTGCTTGACTAACATTTGGTAGATTACTCAAGTAATTCTTTGATAAACAATGAAATTAAACTCTGTGCTTTAAGTTAAAAACATGTTTCATCCTGAAATGACTTATAAGTAAAATAGAAATGATCTCTCCTTAATTATTTGTTATAGCTATGTTCTAGTGTTGATTTTATTTAATACATTCTGGTTTAATTATAATTGATACTTCCCCAAATAGGTATTTACATCATCCAAGATCATGACTATAATTAATAGTAATTTATAAAAACTGCATTTGACAGAAAATTAACTCCATACTGAGGGCTTACATAATTTGCTGAATACTTGTCCTCAATATACTTACCAATACTTAATTGCAATAAGTATTTGTAGATTATAAGCTCTTAGTATATAATTTTCTTATTTGTATTTCTTGATTTTAGAATATATGATTAGATTTTCTTGCTGTGTAAGTCACCTTCTCAAAGTGTGCAGCTCTAGCTATTTTGAATCTTGCATCTACAATTATTAACAGATAAGTTTTAATTCTTAGTATTTTTAAAAGGGTAATCTTTTCAGCTTTATAATTGTCAATATCTTTAACAAGCTACTCCTTACAGTTTACATGTCATGTATAAATGGATTTCATTCATGTATTCTTCTGGGCTTGGCCCAAACACCCTGTTAATATATATCATGAAATTACAATTATAGTTTTTAATGCTAGTTGTTAAAAGTTAATAGAAAAGTTGCATCTTTAAGATATAATTAGTTTTAATGGTTTTTACCCCAAGAAGTAGATATTCATAAACAGATAACATGCTGTATATATGGACTTTAAATACATCTAATACATTAACATTCTTATAATTAGGGAGTCGAACTGGAAAAATTAGAGTGCAGAGTCTGAAGATTGGATTGATGTCTCTCTCCAAAGGTCTCTTGGAAGAAAAGTACAGATGTATGTAAAAACTTTCATATGCAACAGTGTTTTAGTAATAATAATGATTATAACAATTTACTGGAAACTTACATTATATAATTTGTTAGTAGTAATAGTTCTCTCTCTTTTTTTTTAAACTTACTGTGCCTATACTAAGTTGGACAAAAGGTGGCAGTGCACAGACTTGGGGCTTTGTGTGAAATGAAAAACTGATTATAACTAAGAGATGAGGTGCCTGGATGGAGTGAGACCTAACTACAAATTATATTTCATTTAATTCTTAGAATAATCCCTCCCATAATGCCAAGCATTGGGATTTCCAGTTTTCTGGCTGAGAAAATTAATGCTGAGATAGGTTAAGAATCTAGTCTAAGACTGCAGAGCCAATAAGGGATGAGGCTAGAATTAAATCTAAGTTTCTGACTCCAAAGCCCAAACTTTTTTATTTCTTTATACTTCCAATGCTTAAAAGAAAAAAAAAAAGATGAACTAGAACCTTTATGGACATAGATGATAATCCTAAATAAACATATTTTACCATTGTGACAAAATAAAACGCAGTTTTAAATTTTATTATATTTAGATTACCAAATAAATCAACAGTGTTCCTTTATCTGTCAGTTGATGAAGATATGTAGCACAGGAAAAGGCTTGTGCTCAGAACCAGGGACCTGTCTTGGAGATTTCTGCCACTTAGTAGCTGAGTGTCTTTGGGCAGGTTATGTGATTTCATTATGTGCCAACTAAGAAGTATTCCATTTTACAGTTCAAGAAGCTGAAATTTAGCAAATTTTCTTCAACTGAAACCTGAAGCTAATAATTCCTGCTTGGAAAAGAATTATGAGTAATGTTTAAGGTACCTAGAAATAGCAGTTGTTAGATAATTGGTAGCAATTGCAGCTACTGAGTCCCCAAACTCTTAACTACTATCCATATATTTGATTATTTTTGTCCATAAAATGTGAATTTGAGAGATCCCATCATGCTTATTCCCAGATGATTCTTTGAAATCCATACATTTGTGGGAGAGGATTAGGGATATTCTGTGAATAGAGAGATACTAAAAAACAGTAGGATATTTGATTATAGGCCCTGTAAACTTAGTTCAGTTTTTGTGTCGTATATGAACATGAGAGTACATTTTAATAGCTTTTTAATTTCTAGGATTGCTGTGAGGTTATTTGATTTTGAATTTCTAAAGTCTAGACCGTGATGGCCTGTTTTTCCTACATAGTTTGGCAGGAATGTCAGTGAAGAGATGTAGATTTATATGAAATGAAAAGCTGATTGTAGGATTACGAGATGGGGTGCTATGACGGAGTGAGAGCCTAGTTAGCCATGCAGAAGGAGGCTTTGCACAGAGCTCTTGCTTTGTAGCACTTTATCCAGAATTTAAGTAGTTTTTCAGAATCATAATCATGAAAGATGTAATTTCATGAAGAAGTTATCATTTTTATAATGATCAGGAAAGACAAATGTTAATGAAAATATCAATATTACAAAATTAGAAATGGATTTTTTATCATCTCTGATTTGGGGTTTCTTGTGCTTCTGAAATAATTAGGGTTCTCTGAAAGTAACAGTTATAGTGTAGAGCTTACTCTGATATATATGCAAATTCAACCTCAAAGCTTTCATTGTCTATAATTCAACATTAACTTTTAGATTTTGGCAGGAAGCAAGAAGCCTCTGCAGTGAAATTTCTCATATTTAATTAGATACAAAATTATGCCATTTAGGACTAATTAAATAAGAAATCTCTTCAGGTTTTAATCTTTAATCTAAATCTTTACTGAGATATCCAGACTTTGGAATGTCCTGGGGTTTTGTTTTGCTTTTACTTTGAGACCTTCACCACTCTGCTTCCAGTTTTTATTTCCCCCTTGATATCAGAAACTTCCTCATTATTATTTCCTTTATTAGAATTGATATTCCAGACAGTTTGCTCTTCAAATGCAATGGCAAGGCCGCCATTCAAGATCATTGGTATCTGTCTGAACATTGATTTTATTAATACAATACCCAATGGCAGTGTCTTAACCCCATAACACTTTTTTCTTAGTCCTTTCAGAATGTCCTTGTTTAGATTCTAACAGTGCCCTGGTCTTTATGCTTATAGCTGGCCTGCTTCCTTGCCTCATCAAAACACATTTACAGACCAAACTGGTAACATACTTAGTCCTGGCTACTTGGGAGGCTAAGGTGGGAGGATTACTTGAGCCCTGGGAGTCAGAGGCTGCAGTGAGCCATGATCAGACCACCACACTTGCAGCCTGGATGACAAGCGAGACAGCAAAAAAAAAAAAAAAAAAAAGTACACATTTCAGAGCCATCCTTTTTAAATTATCATTAGCATCTCTTCTGTACTGATTTATTAGAATTTGATTTTAGATTATGACTTTCTTATTACCCATTCCTTTACCTGACAGTGCTTTTTGTATCTGACTATAATGTTAAGAATATGAACTTTTGTAAAGGAACTTTTATAAGAGTTGCAAAGGAAATATGTCAAAATGTCTAAGGACACTTTTATCCTTATGTTTTGTAGGTAGTTTACCTTAATAGTGGCATGGCGGTATGGCCTATGCCTCAAAGAGAAAGTTAGGCATAGTTGATCTTGCTGGCGTACACTTTTATGTAAAGATTATTATACATATTCATCAACTTTTATTTGCCAACAGACCTCTTCCCAGGGACTGGTTTAAAATAAACATCATATTAAGACTACTGGATAAATATTTTTGTCTGTGATAGCCTTATTTTTTTTAATGGAAGAAACAAGTAGAGCTCTAACCAAATCTAAGTGAAAAATTATAATAAAAATGAAATTTATGCTTCATTGAATTTGCTTTTCCTATATTATGCTTATAATTGACCATACTTCATTATAATTACTGTATCAGTATCACTGGGGCTTGGTTCAGTTTGAAATTTCACCATTGACGGCATTAGATCTAGCATTATATTCCTTATAAAAGAAAGAATGGGCCAGAGCACAGTGGCTCAACGTAATCCCAGCACTTTGGGAGGCCGATGTAGGTCAGATACACCTATGGTCGGGAGCTCGAGACTAATTTCACAGCCCAGCATACGAAACCTGTCTCTATAAAAAATAAAACTAGCCAGGCGTGAGTATTTACATGCCTGTAATCCTAGCTACTCGGGAGGCTGAGGCGGGAGAATTGATTGAACCCGAGGCCCGGAGGTTGCAGTGATCCGAGATCGTGCCATTTGCACTCCAGTCTGAGCAACAGTGACGCTCCATCTCAAAAGAAAAAAAAAAAAAGAGAGAGAAAATGATACATTTTGATCTGATATCAGGTACTGTTTATAAATATTTTAGAATCCAATTAATATTTACTCCACTTTCTTCTATTCTTGGAAAATTTCACAAGAAGAACATTTAGATTTTAAGTGCTTTTGAATTTTTAGAATTTATTTCCAAAAATATTAATTTCTATAATGAAATGGATTATTTGTATTTGAAATTTCTTCCTCTTCCAAAAGCCTTATCTTAGGATATTAGCTTTGTTGTTGAAAATTATATATAATTTTGATCTTCAAATGTATATGGTAGATAAAAGTAAACCAGAGTGGACAAAATAGAAGAGTTTAATTTTATTAATTCGAAGGGGGTATAAAACAGATCAGTTTTTTTAATGAATGAAAAACCTTCTAAAAACTTTAATACGCACATTTTAAAATTTGATTAAATGTATTTTGTTACATAAAGTAAAACAAAAACAGTGTTTATAGCTAATAAGGAATGGGAGACTGGCCGAAAGAAAAAGCACACCATCTTGTACTTTTTAGTGCTTCTTATATAAAATAGATGTGAATGTAAAAGTCTTTAAAATAAGTTATAATATATGTACATTTAGTAGAATATTGAATTTAGGAGTGAACACAAAAGTTTAGTAAACAATCTATTTAAAATTTGAAGGTTTGTTATTTAAATTCGTTTATTCTTTTATTTTTTGTTTTAATTTTTTTTTTTTTTTTTTTTTGGGTTAGAGATCTTGCTATGTTCCTTGACCAAGGTCTCCTCCTGGCTCAAGTGATCCTCACCCTAGTCTCTCAGTAGATGAGATTATAGGCATGTACTACAAGCACCCAACTACGTCTATTCCTTTGTGAGTCATGAAGGAAGCTTTATTTTGGCTCATTCTTTCTCAGTAAGAAGGGAATTTCTTATGAAGGTCATAAAATTAATTCATATGGGCTTATTGTATCATTTTTAAAAGGAAATTTGTGTTTACTGATTTATACTATATATGCATGATTTATGTTTATATGTATATATATAACCCATTCTTGAGGCAGATTTAACTTCATACTTCTTAAAATAATCTAATATCATATGAAATGCAGAATATTAAGATCAGAATATTTAAGGTCATTGGAATTCAGGAGGCAACTAATCAGATTCATGTCCTTCTGGGAAATTTTTCAATCTACATGTTTCAGTCACATTACCAAAGATATTTTAAGTAAAAAAGAACACAGGCAGATAGAAGTTAACCTCTTGCCTCTCTTTTGCAGATCTCTTAAGAGTAAGGCCGAGGCCACGGAAGCTCTGTGACCAGAGGCAGCTGGGCCTGTTACTTCATAGCTCCATCCAGATACCCCGGCAGCTAGGTGAAGTAGCTTTTTTGGAGGCAATAATATTGAGCCTAGTGTTCCGCAGCTGCTTCAACAGGTAAGCATGAAGGATCACTGGTATGCAGGATCATGTTGGGGAAGGGTTTTGAGGATGTTCTGAGACATGGAATAGGGAACTCGGGCTGGAGCCAAATGCTGAAAGACTTTGGGTACCATCCAACAAGTGGTATATTTTATCTCCTAAGGCTCATTTGCTTCAAAAACCATAACCCTTGCAAAGAGACTTGCTGTTTCTTCTCCCATTCTGATGTTTAACCTGTGCCATTAATTGCTGTTCGTTCGGCCCTTTTCCTGGCGTCTGTCCTACCCACTCTCACTTCACTCTCCACTTGCCAGCTGCACTGTGTTATTTCCTTGTTTCCTGCCTCAGCGTG